TGCGTTCGTGCCTTCTGGATGGGACCATGCGTCCTGATGGCAGGACGGCGGACAAGCAAAAATAGGCTGGTCGTCAACGTGTTAACAAAGGACAAAAAGGCAACGAAGCTGCGAAGCAACTAGGGCAAGCCATGAAAACTTTCTGGATTAGGCAGCAAAACCTCCTATGAAGATCAGTTTAAGAAGTTCTTCAGACTTGAGCTCTTAATGAAATTACAAACTGGGAGCACGCAACGTGAGTGAATTTTTAATGAAATTCATTCATATTGCGTATGGCTAGTCAGCACTTTTATTAAGAAAGAGTCTCCAAAGGGTAATTGCCAGAATAAGTATTATTGCTGGAATGAAGATCCAGGTCGCTTTTGTCACTGCATGTGCACGTCCACCTTCTACTATACCAATTGTAAATAAGTTTTTAGGTTCAGTGTAAGGATTGCATAATACCTGTTTGAGGTCAACCCACATTTTAAGCCGTACCTTCGCTTTGGAACCAACATTGATTCAATGTTGATTCCCATCCGGACGTTTAACCAACGTTGGATCAATGTTGATTCAATGCGCTCTGCGACAAGGGCAGTTGTAGCATCCAAGTTAAATTAAGAGAAAATGAAGCTTTTGAATTAATTTGATGGAAATTATGGTCTCCCTATGTGAAAGATATTAGCCTTTTTTGGAATAATTCCGATTTTCGGAATTTCCTATGTGTTCTAGATATAAGAAAAGATGCTGTCAACATCTGGCTACCCGAGAATTTTGCAGCGGTGAAGGATGGGTAGATGACAGTTGTCCTAAAAAATATGTCTTAATTACTTTGATTTCCTCGACAAGTAATGAAGACAAATCACATGGATCGCATGCTACCTCGTTTCATGCATGAGCTCTCCCTATTTGAAATCAATCGCGGAATGCTTATTGACAGAAGTTCTTAAGAACGAGACGATATGCTTTCAGCGGAAGCAGCAGAGGATACATTGAGAGCCATGTGATCGGGCCAGCCGCCGTCCATCTGGCGAGTCCCCTCGCCCACACCATGACGCATGAGGTGGTCGAGGACGACCAGGCTGGTCCTGCCGTGTATAACTTCGAGTGGCAGGCGGTGGATGCGGGCAAGGCACTCTTCGCCAATCAGCAGGAGTCCCGGAATGAGGATAACCTCCGAGGCCAATACTCAGTGCTGGGAGCCGATGGCGTCCTCCGCACCGTCAAATACACCGTCGAAGGAGATGAGGGATTCAAGGTATTGCGCATCGTCGATCTTCAACCGACGTCATCCTAGACCTAGAATTCTTTTACTTTCAGGGCTTTCTACCAACAAATGTTTATTTGTAGCCGTCCGTTTATGGCCAGTTCCAACGAACGAGATTTTACTATACCATGGAGTGCATGATATGTATCTTTTGTGCAAAGGCGGAAATCACCAACGAGGAGGGTAGAGGCCCCGTCCAGAAGGCACGAACGCATCAGGCATCAACAAAAACCGTCGCCACCCACTCCGGCATCGGACATACGTCATACGTCCATCCTTCAGTCTCCTCCAAAGATCACACCGTCGTTGTCCGCACCGAAGAGAAGACACATGGCTCCCCCTCTACTTCACATGTCGAGGATGACCAGGCCGGTCCTGCCGTGTATAACTTCGAGTGGCAGGCGGTGGATGCGGATAAAGCGCTCTTTGCCAATCAGCAGGAGTCCCGGAACGAGGACAACCTCCGAGGCCAATACTCAGTGCTGGGAGCCGATGGCGTCCTCCGCACCGTCAAATACACCGTCGAAGGAGATGAGGGATTTAAGGTATTGTGCATTGTCGATCTTCAACCGACGTCATCCTAGACCTAGAATTCTTTTACTTTCAAGGCTTTCTACCAACAAATGTTTATTTGTAGCCGTCCGTTTATGGCCAGTACCAAAGTTATTGAGATAACACCAGATGCAAAAGGAAATCATTTTTTATGCTACATCTTAAAGATGGTTTGGTCCAGAAATACTACTTCAACTGGGTCTAATAGAGCATTGACTCCTGCACCTATTCTAGTCAAAATTTTTCTCATTTCTCCCATAGATGAGAAACGGAAGGCCATTCAAGTGTTATTGATATAAAACAGTTCAGACAAACGGCTTTCGTCATGCACGTTTCTCTTCCTATTTTGTCCGATTTGGCTTGACCAAAAACTTCCATATTTTTAGATGAGAAAGCATACATCATCTCCCTTCTTCCTGCCAGATGACATTTTTTGTTGCTAAAGAATGACTTTTCTTGAAAAGTTTTCCATCGTTAATGACATAACATATTAGACGAAAAGCGAGAATCGCCAAGTAAGTGGTAAATTCATTCATACAGAATGGTGCAGCAGTAATGAAAACCAATGAGATTTTACGTTATCATGGAGTGTATGATATGTATCTTATGTGCAAAGGCGGAAATCACCAACGAGGAGGGTCGAGGCCCCGTCCAGAAGGCACGAACGCATCAAGCATCCGCAAAAACCGTCGCCACCCACTCCGACATCGGACATACGTCATACGTCCATCCTTCAGTCTCCTCTAAAGATCACACCGTCGTTGTCCGCACCGAAGAGAAGACACATGGCTCCCCCTCTACTTCTCATGTCGAGGATGACCAGGCCGGTCCTGCCGTGTATAACTTCGAGTGGCAGGCGGTGGATGCGGACAAAGCGCTCTTCGCGAATCAGCAGGAGTCCCGGAACGAGGACAACCTCCGAGGCCAATACTCCGTGCTAGGTGCCGATGGCGTCCTCCGTACTGTCAAATACACTGTCGAAGGAGATGAGGGATTCAAGGTATTGTGCATCGTCGTTCTTTAACCGTCGTAATACTTGACTTGGAATTGTTTTGCTTTCAGTGTTTTTTAGCAGCAAGTTGCTTTTAGCCGTCCATTTATACAGAGTTTTTGAACGAAAAGCAAATCTCGTTTTTTTCAGGCTGAATCATTGATGAAATCACGAGCAGAACGAGATGTTAGTATACCATAGAATCTAGGAAATTTATCTTTTCGATACAGGCGGAAATCACCAACGAGGAGGGTAGGGGCCCCGTCCAGAAGGCACGATCGCATCAAGTATCCACAAAAACCGTCGCCAGCCACACCGGTATCGAACACGCTTCGTACGGCCAGCCTTCCATCGCCTCCAAAGATCACACCGTCGTCGTCCGCACCGAAGAGAAGACGCGTGACACCGCCGCTCCATCTACTTCCTACAGTGCACCTCCCTCCTATGGTGCACCTGCTTCCTATGGTGCACCTGCTTCCCCCGTTCAGTTCGGTTATTCAGGCAGCGGTGGCGTCGCCGTCCCGTCTAATTCCTATGGAGTCCCTGCGTCGATGGTCCATATTACTAATTGGGGCAGTGACGGCGTCGCCGGCCCGTCTTCCTCCGGCGGAAAGCCGTCCGCCGGCCACCGCCCTGGCTCTTTTGTCTGCACCGACCATTTCGTCGCCGAACTTTGAGAACTGAAGTAGGACATTTCTGCTTTATTGATCATGCTGATTTGCTTCATATTTTCGTCGTCGTCTCCTTTCGCTGCCTCGCTCTTTCCCCGGTTTCTTCTGTGAAACCATTTGTAAATAAATTTTACAATGTCTTTTCCATCTGTGAATTGGAAAAGAAAGACGACGTTATGCATTTCTTCCTTTGAAACCAATGATTTAACTTAAATTGTTGACATTTTGCATGATGGGTTCATGGGGAGCAATTAATGAGAGAATGAGCAAATTAATCTGTTTGCACTCAGTGAGGCCGCGGTCGCCGTCGGATTGCGGGTGCCAACCGATCCACCCAAATCCGGATCCGGATCCGGATCCGGACATTCAGAAATCTACACCGCAGACGAACCGAGTATGGTGTACATACCGGAATGCTCTGCGGGATTCCACCCTTTCTTGGGCAGTTGGATTCTTCACTGACCTCATGAAATCATGAAATCCGCACATGCAGTGAAGCAGTCGACCAAGGAAATCGACACGAAGAGAAATACCCTTTTAGCACATAACATTGATTCAACATCGATTCCATGGTGAATCAACATTCGGACGTTGAATCCACGTTGAATCCATGTTGAATCAATGTTATGTGCTTTTTGTTAGGGTATTTGAAACTCTACTCCATAGGGAGAGCCCTAAATCCTAAATTTACTGTTGAATTGACGCTGCTACACCAACACACCTGTCCATTCATGTAACAGGCCTTCCAAAGCGTTTCCTATTCTTCGCGTTTCATTTTTCGAACGCACGTTCTTCCCATCGCTACAATGTCATTTTGGGTGGAGGTTCTTTCTCGAACTGTTCCCGAAATGCCGACCTGATATCGCGCATGCTTTGACCTGAGACAGGCCTTTCGTGAATCCACACGCTAGCGATCGTCCTTTCTTCCATTGAGCAATAATGACCCACCACACGATGACTGAAGCCGTTAGTCACAGCGCAATTCACAACGCATTCATCACCATGAATCTCCCCGTCATGACTGGCCCAATACTGTACATATTACAAATTTCCCACTCGATGTCTTTCCACGCCAATCTGACCAAAGGCGTGAGCTCGGCCATCTACGATTTTGGCGAAAATCGGCATACTCGTTGAGGAATCCATTTAAAGAAACTCACTTCAACAAAAAAAAATGTATCTCTTCGGAATATCTCCACATCCAAATTAATTTGAATGCCACATAATTTTTGGCTCTTGGCGGCCAAATGACTCCTCTTCTAGTTGAGAAACAAGCTTAATTCCGGCGTCAATTTATAAGTGAAATGGCTTTCTTTAATTCGACTCCAGGTACTTTCATCCAAAGCCAAAACAAGATGTTCCACTCGAGGAAAGAATTTGATGAGGTTCAGTGGCCAATAAATATTTCCGCTGTCACTTTGAGAATTCGCGGTTCCAATATATCATTCGAAAGTGCAGGGATTGCCATTTCTATCTGCACCAAATTCGAGATTGCCACTTTCTAAGCTTCTGACCTAACCTTCAGGAACAGGAACTTTCTAATGAATTATTATAACTTGGAGTTCGTGGAGAGGCAAGTGCAGATGTCGGTCGCTGAAGTCGTTCAGACGGAATTCAGGCACTAAGGCTGCAATCAAACATTCATATCTGAGGAAGTCATTGAGTGCGGATCTCCAATTGTGTGCAGTCTTGCAAGAAGAGGGCTCAGACTTGTCGTGACATGTGGGTTGAGCTCTCTCTATCGACCAGCCTTTGATAATTACATAGCCACTCCCCTTTATGACATTCGGTCCTGAGCTCTCTCGTTTTCTATTCATATTTTTTTTATTCTTCAAATCTTCCTCCATTTTCCATTATTCACATGTTTTCCTCCCAAAACTAAATTTTGCTCGGTTCATACTAATAACGGATCAAGTTTTCTTGTTTCTACGGAAGGGAAATTATTCGTCCGAAATTACAAGTCCAACAATCTTCATAATGAATCTTCGCCATTTCCGAAACTCCCTACTCACAATCTATGTCCTTCATTCGCAGAAATAAATGAAGGAGGGGCGCAGAAACAGTCATGTTTTTCTAAGGCGATGCCCTAGAAAATCGTCTGATAGGTCACTATTGTCCATGAATTATGGACCTTCGATCGCACAAGAGGAGCACACGCAACCAGAAAAAAGAGATAGTGCAGCCGGGCTCGAACAGGTTGCCGGGGCGACCAAAGCAACGGGCGGAGGCCAGTCAGCATGCAACGCGGTGAAGCCGATCAAGCAAGGACTCAGTTGTGCTTCGAGGGACCACAGGTTTACATTTCGCCTCGACATGGTCCTTCCCGTCGACAAGTTCTTCTCAAAGAAATCTCCGGTGCGAGCGGAGATATTCAAAGTCGTTGATAATTTTTTTTTGCCATATCCTCTATACTAAATCTATTTTCCCCCTCACGATGAAAAGTTTATCATTCCTAGAAAGGCCGACCACAGTCGCGATTCGAAGGGAACATTTTCACTCCTTCTTTTCCCCGTGTATCGAGATTTATTTCTGTCAATAATGCAATCACAGCTGCATTATTTTCAGGTGCGGATTTCCGGAGCCAAGTAAAATGTTTCTTTGCAACAATTAGTTTAACATTGACCCCAAAACATAAATGTGCATGACATAGTAAAACCCATGCTACAAGTTATTCCGTGCGAGGCCACTCTCCTTTTTCGTATGAAAAAATCCTGAATTGGGCGCTTCGAAGCCTGTTCCCTCTCCTCCGATAGGATCTTGCCAAACATTTTTTAGTCTGCTTGCAAAGATGCCGCAGATCGTCGAAGACGTAACGCGCCAGAAACTCAGACATCTCCTCCAGAGTATGGAATCCCTCAAGCAAGAGATGAAGTATTTCGAGGGGAAAATGATGCATTTGGAACGATGTATGATGTTCATCAGTAGGTACGAATTGTTTTTTTTTTCACTTTGAAATTGAGTCTTTGTCATGAAGCACTCACACCTGCCAACGGAAGGAGTGGATTCTCACGATTAGTTTGAATACATTTCCAGAACTTCTGGGCTTGACGAAGACGAAGGGACGACAGGCATTCTGGGCAGATCCCAAGGGAAGATGCCGACGAGCATGGTAGTGGCACCAAAACATAACCGAGGATACGTCAATAACTTCGCCAACAGCTTGGAATGTCTGGAACGCGATATGAAGTATTTCAGAGGGAAAATGGAGCTCCTGGAGGAGTCCATCGCGACCATTAACAGGTGAGACTGGACCTGGGCGTCTCTTTCAACAGGATGGAGTCGCTGACTTACCAACTTCCATTCGTCTGCATCCACAGAACTGCGTGGGCTGACACGGACAGAGCGAATCGAGGAGAGGCTTGGATACATGGGCATGATTCTGGGAGATTCTCTGAAGGAGGTACGTGCAGGGCCGAGGTGTTCATTCCTTTCAGTCAGGCAAACATTATAGCAGTATATCATTCGCTTTTGAAGGCCTTGCTGGATCGGAGTCTCGAAAATGTATTCAAACATCTTAGAAATAAGAATGACGGAAGTGCAACAAGTGTTCTTTGTTTTCTGTTTCTGTTCATCTAACTAGAATCATGGGCACAAAAAATTACAGGAAGGGCTGAAATGTGTGACATTTTAGTTTACTGTGATATCAATCTAATATATAAAGACGATCGTGACTGACAGCGACTGAATGACTGATATGAGGGCATACGAAGCAGTGTGGTGGTGAGACACACTGTCTTATGGCAGTGTTATGGGATCTAAAAAAATACCTAATCTCAGGTCTCAGATGCCTCATGGTATCCCAGGAAAAAAAAAACTGATTATACCTTTGTAAAATCCAAAATAGGGTTGTGCTTAAGGAGGATTTAGCCTCATGGCACATGTGCCAGATAACGTTCCAGCAATGTTCTCAGAGAAAAAATACAACCATATTTTGGTTACTTTCCGATAAGTTGTATTTTCATATTCCGTGATGCATATGAAGCTTCACAGACAGAAATGGGAGTAAAATGAATAAGGCAGGATATATTCTTAGCATGAAACATGTTAGGATCTTTGTCTCCGGTGTGCTCAATTCTAAGCAGACGACGAGGCCGAACTGACAGTTTCTGGTTCTTGTTACAGGGCTGACGGTTTCCCTTGGGAGCAAATTGGGATTGACAGGAAGGCCAGGAATCTGGAAAATCCTCTGGATCTGTGTACTATGTGCCTCCATCACGATCACCATCATCCAGGTGCTGTGGATCTCCATTATTCCTTGGTAAATTAGAGGCATGATGCATTTAGTAATGACACATCGTGACATTCGGACCAGACGAGAGGATTGATTCTGAACTTCATGAGGAACCCAAGCGCACAGGATATTCGGATCGTGCGACCGAATGGTGTGGATTTTCCTGCAGTCACTGTTTGTCCTGGGTCGACGTGGAACAAAACAGCACTAAGGCTCTATAACTTAACGAAGAACGATGTTTACGTCTACGGCAAGGGATTCGTACTGAATAGATTAAACATGAGCCTCGACGAAGCTCTGTATTTCTTCTCCATGAATGACTTGAGCTTCGTGACTTCGTGCATTGCCGTCTTGGATTGCCAGGGAAATGCAACTCTCACCTTGGTCAACGGTTATCGGCTATACCAGACAGAAGGTGATGATGCATAGCATTGCATGTTCTCTCTCGTTCTCTTGAATGAAAAAATAGTTATTTTTTTTCAGCGGGAAAATGGAAAGAATTGAGATTTGCTAAAGTGGGTGAGGATTCACTCGTCAAAGTCTGCTACACTTTCCGTGCAAACACGACGATGGAGTTGGGGACTTCCTCCGCCGTCATGGAATTCAACTTCACGTTCCAAGACTTCGAGCGCGTCACTTACTTCGAGGTCCACATCCACCCTCAGGACGAACCTTTCACAGACGGCCTGAGGGGGGTGCCGACGTCGAGGCAGACGCTGTTGCTCGGGCCGGGAAGCAGATATACGTTGAGTGTTTCTCCCAAGTCTTACCTATACTTGCCTCGAGGGCAAGAGTGCAATGCAGACAAGGACTACAACTTCGTCAAGGTCATTTCGGTTCGACTCTCGATTCTGAATTTCCCTTCCTGCGACTGAAAGGCGATTCTGTTTACTTCACGGTGCGTAGTGTGTGGCGGGAGCCGTGAAAGAGGAGTTCCTGAAGGGGGGACCGTGCGTCCTGCCTGCAATGTTGCCCGAAGATGAGACAAGCCATAAGTCCCTTTGCAACAACTCGGAGGACTTGGATCAATTTTTAGACTTCTATCACGATGTGGAAGAACTTTTCATCCCAGACTGCCTGAGGAAGTGCAACAGGACGACGTATAACATGTTGCTAATCCCCGAAACACCACTCGATATGCCCATGAAGCTGATGCCCACCGTTCACCTGGAGCTGAACACCCCGATATCTGATGTGAGCTCTTTAAGTTACACAACTTAATTCGAAGCCAGTGCTCGTCATTACCCGGGACAAAGTTTGCACCTAACGTCCAGGTATTTATTTTACCACAATGGAAGATCGTTACATGCATCTTAACCCTTACGAAAAGATCCTACAGGATCCTATAACATTTTTGAAGCTTGCAATTCTTAAAGAATTCTTATATGAATTCTAGATTATTCTAATAGGATCCTATAGATATCATGTTAAATTTTTTAAATTAAAAAATCCTATGGGATCGAATATAATTTTTCCGTAAGGAAACTCCATCATAAGTAAACAAAAGGTTGATGAATGGCAATTGCTCCAGAGCCGATCTTCATGATTGTTTCGAGGAACGGATGTACAGGTAACTGTTCGTTCGGGATCCAAGTTAAAACATGGGGTTTGTTTATTTTCAGATGGAGATAGTGGAGGAGCTGGAGACAACCTCCGTGTATCAGTTTCTGTCGGACATGGGAGGCATGATCGGGCTGTACTTCGGATTCTCCTTCCTCACCATTTATGAATGCCTGGAATTTCTCTTCGTTTATGCTACCTCTCGAATCGCCAGAGCTCACGTCCGACCATGACCTCGTTGGGATCGGCAAAAAAGGCTCTTTGGCTTTTGCACCACATTTAGCTCGTGGCGATTGGAAAACTGGGGAAGTTATTTTTCGGGCCGCAGTAGTGACAGCATTGACGCAGAGGTCAGGTGATGACAATTTTTGACAGTTGCTGGAATGTTGAAAACTGGCTGTGACTGGACTTCTGTCTTACATGTTCAAGTGACTCGGCACATGAAATATCTGAACATGGAAAAAGGAAATTGTCGATGGACTTTCGACAGCGATGTGCAATAGTCTGTCAGTTCGATTGCGAGATTAGGCATCCTGTGACATGCGCGCATTTGCACCAAGTAAATAACGACGACAAAATGAACAACTGTGCGCGTGACGCACGTATGGTTCCTCTCTCAATAAATCGGCATGAAAAATAACCCTCGCGCGTTTTCCGACGCCGTGTGATCGTCCATACTCAGAGAAATGGCATTTTACCTTTTTTTGCAGTCCACGCTCGATTTATCTCGAGGCAAGTTAAGAGAACACCTCGGATTGATAGAGCCGACTCATTCGAAGCACTTGAACTCCAAAAGAGTACACCTCCAATTCACATGTATGTGCAAGATGCGTAACGGAAAACCTTAATATTTATGCTTTCATATGCCGTTAACAGTTTGCTTAACCTTACCCTTCAATGCATGGTCCGGCAGATTTGTTACCTTCCCAATGAAAAATATCGGAACAATAACAGGATGAAAATGCAACAATGCAACAATATCAAGCAATATAATTGCATTTCATAGTTTTTTGTTCCAGTTGTTTTTCTGAACTTGAAATAGGTATTTCTGCAACACTATGCATTAAATCTTAAATCCTAAGACCGAATTTTCGGACAACAGAGGCCTATGATTGCTTTCCCGGAGCAATATCAGACACTGCCACTAAGTATTGTAATTAGAGTTTTTTTTAAAGAAAACAGTCAATTGAGGCAATTCTGGCACAAAACTCGTATACTGCTCAGAATTCCCATAATGGGAAGCATGAAGCGAGGTGGAATGTTCTTGAAAATACTCTGTACAATCCTAAGCTTTGAATCCCACTCAAAATGTCTCTTTTGGCCATTTTAAATCCTGTACCCTGAAAAATACTGAGTCTGAATATAGAAGACTGATACATAGCACAAAAAAGTTTACTTGAAGAAGTCCAATCATTTTATTGTAAAAAATTCCATATTCCTTAAATGCTCATCATTGTATAACCACTGGTGGTCAAATATAACGCATGGCAAATTGGCAATATGATCTCTGGTGGCACTATCATCACCAATAGTAATACTCGAGGAAACGGCGTTGAGCATTTCTCACCACCAAGCACGCTTCAATAGTTCACCTGGAAGGCAGAGAGATATATGCAAAGATTTGGTGAACATAGGAGAGGGGAAACAGCTTGCCTGCCCTCTACATGCACTCATTTTTTTTTAAGTGGGAAATATGTCCCTCTCCTTTTTCTTTAACTCATTTCATAACGTTGTCTGTCAAGTGCGTGGACATTGGAGAACTTGGACATTACAGGATGAATGAAAACCTATTCCTAGGGGGACTCCAACTAAGGGATGAATGATATCATCTAATGTTATGGATACATTTGAAATTGCTCTTTTCTTAGAGTATGATTATTTTGATCCATTATTTGCCGTTAGCCTCATGGACGTTCCTCAAACGTTGAGAGTATGGAAGAAAATACAAAAAAATTAGATTGCAAATGAAAGACCTCGCAGGACATTTTGATATCTACATGAAGGAATTGATGATCCGTGAGGGTGATCTTGCCCGACATTCCATGGGAATCCTCATTGAGCACCTTCAAAATCTTGTGAGATTCTTAAATTTTTTACCGTACATTCTGAAAACACGCTGAAATATTTTCTAAAATAATGAATGTTTGAGGGCTTGCCTGAGGCTAACGGCAAGAACAGAAGGTTTTAATACGAGGGTCCAACCAAAAGTAATGAACCCTAATCAACCTTCATCTTGCACCATTTAGCATCGAAGACGTGACGATAGTGTCTATGAGATATTTACTTGATTTTTATGGAGAACTGTTGGGGAACAAGTGGAAACCTGTGAACCATTGTCGGTTTCATTACTTATGAAATCATTATTGCACCAAATATATATATTTTCAATAGTATCTATTGGCACTCCACTGGAATTTTCAGCACCCTCAGCTCTTGACCTTCATCCATGTATGGGCCGTAACAGTGTATGATACCGTGTAGACCTTTTTTCTCTTGAAATTAAATGAAAATTCTGCAGACATTCCCATCTTACCGGGGCTGAGGGGATGTAAGTACATCAGGTGCCTATCCAAGGCCCACAATAAGGGCACTGTGTGCAAATCCCAGTGCACATCTACTCTCCCATGGAAATAGATTTTCTTCACACTATCAGGGATCTGGTGGTCTTGGTACACTGGGGGAAACTTATCCTTCACCATCCACGGTGTCTTTTCTACAAGAAAAGAATAAGGGTGGTGAAGAATGACTGACAGTTGCAATTGGGAAGACGAATTAAGCATATTCTCTGCAAATGGCATTCTTTCTTACTCGCCCTAATTGGATGGCACAGCAGCATAATAAAAACATTGACTGAAAATTTATGTTTGCGCATGGAAAAGAAGCAACGATGTTGCATGAAATGACTTTAAATTCAACTAAGAATTGAAAAGAGACAGTTCAGCATCGAAAAATATGCTATTAATCACGAAGTGCTTGTGTATTCGTACCTACATTATCTTCGACGTGACAACTGCTGGATATTGAATAGACATAAATGAAATGCTGATTCTACGAAATTAAAGAGAAATTTTATTTTGCCATTTCGAAGCTTGGTGGGAATCCATTTTCAGTCCTTATAGACATTGACATCAATTACCTGATCAGAACTTTTGGCGACATCTAGAATCATTTAATGAGGACGTTCAGGAAGTCCTTGGACTTTTCACGAACCTCAGAATAAAATATTATTGTTAAGTAGGGGTTACTGTACTTTTTCAACAAAGTCACCACAAATTGGCACCCACTTGTGCAAACAATTTGGAAGTAACTTTGATCCCTCTTTGAACCGTGTCTTTTGGGGTAGAACGAACCCATTGATGCATCACTGAGTAAATTGCCTGAATGTTTAAAAATTTTTGTGGGGCTTCTTCATGGCACCAAAGAGCCATTAACCATTAGTTGCTAGATATGGTGAACACGTATGGTGTTGAAGCTTTTCGAAACCCAGATCAGCTTATGTTATTCTATGTTTGCCGGCTGTCTTGCAGTTTCTCATTGCCATGCAGCAGTAGAACACGTGCACTCAATTTCTGCATTTTGACCTCATGGGACCTTCATGCTTTGCCAGGATGTTCATATATTAGCCATCCCAGAAAAGGTATGCCCTGTGTCTCAGAAAAATTTCGCAATTCGGTTACTTGTAGAGTAAACAGTAATTTTTACTCTCTCTGGGTGGAGGGCTGTCAAAATAATTCCATTGCTGGAATTGTGGTTTCGTCTCCAGTTCATAGAAGTGAAACCAGATTTCCTCGCTGGTAACAAGGCGTCTGAAGAGAGCATCTGGATTATTGCTTTCTAGGCGGAGCTGTTTCGCATTCGTTTGTCCCCTTTCAATTTAATTCCTTCGTCAACAGTCATGATGCCCAACGTGCCCATATCTTTCCCAGCCGCAGATTATCATGCTAAAGTGCATTAATTAAACCGAGATTCTAAATGCGAGAATGAACGGTGTTTGTCGTTCACTAGTCTGTTATTCGTGACCAATCGTTCAACAGCTAAGTTTGTTGTTTAGGTATTTGGCTTACCAGATTGATCAACTGTTTGACGACGACCTTTAAAAGAAAGCACGAGTCGTAGACAGTCTATTTTGCCGATGAAGACTTCACACACACAGTTTAAAGCCTGCAAACGATGTTGACAGTCTTTTGTCTTTAATTCCACAGGAGCCATACTATCCAACGTTCCCCATGCATGTCACGTTCTTTCTATATTTTCAGAATTAGATGTGATGGCGGAATGGTATAGCTAATGTTACCACTTACTCAGAACAATGTATTCCGCTCATGATGGCTTTCAAGAATGGAAATTTACAAGCACGTTGGGCAAGGCCAAGGGACAGAAGTAGAAACAGTCCAAATACCTTTTGAACGCCACTGGCATTGTTCTTCTCTGCAATGAAGTAACTGTTGACTCTTCTAGTGAAAAGAATTGGTTATTCGTTCAAGCCTATAGATCAGTCGCGTGTTATTAAAAGGGTTAATGGCACATATTAAAAAGTCTATCTTAGTATTTCAAGGGCAGCAGGCCCTTGAGCAGGAGCTGGAATAAGCCGGATTTAACAAATCGGAGGAATTCAAATGGCCGCAAAAAAAAGGTATTCGCTGGCCGCGGGTTGTGCATCACTGCTCTACGAGATTTCCCATGGTTACTAAATATGTGGTAGTACCAGAATATAATTGCTATCCAGCATGAAGGGCAATACCATGCAATTCTGACGTCCGCAGGTTTTTTGCATCTGAGTTAAAATGTTCTTAAGTAAATAACTGATGCAGGATTGGAAAAATAGTTCATTATAGCCGATGGGTTTAGGGACGGACAGGAGTAGGAATGATGAAAGGTGAAGCACAGAAGGCACTGGACAAAGAACAGACCTGGGCGATTTCGTTCCTTTTGGCGATATTGACGATCTTGATCAAGTTGACGAAGTACATTGCGTTCATGAACTTGACGATATGGACGATATTCAGGGATTTTATGATGGTTCTGAAATTCACGGGGATGAGATGGACTGCTTCGAAGATCCTGACGATTATTACAATATACACGATGCACAATAGGTATTATTTGCGAAGTTGCTTGAAAGGGATCCTCCCAAACTAGGAGGATCCCCACTCCGTTTGGATTTCCATCCTCTTCAGGAATAAAGGTCCCTAGAAAACCAATTTACCACAGTAACTACATTTCACAAATTGCCCACATAGGAAGACAAAGGAGGGGAGGGAGGGATGTGATTTAATTCTCAGAATCAAGACATTCCCTGCGTAGAGGGATGGAGTGGTTCAGAGTTCCAAGTAAAACCTGGTAGGGTAGAGTCTAGATGACGGCATGCTCTTTTTCTTACTAGCTATTTAATTTCAGGGAGAGTTTGAATTGCGGTATAATGGCATCCACACTAATCTGTGCGTCACTTTCTCAAATGTTGGACATGGAAACGCTGTGAGCTGTTCAAACAGTCTCCTACAGGCCTGAGACGGAGTATTAGTCCTTTAGAAACTAGCAGTTGTGAAACCAAATGCAAGTTATTCCTCTATTGCACAAGGAAACGCATATTTTCCCAATTTTTCCTCAAGTGTATAAAAATGTTTGACATTAACCTGAGTCTTCATGCAATCTTCAGTCAAGCGCTCATTTCCATCTCTTCCCTGGAACATATGCACCTAGCACACACGAATGTACGCAATCGGCATAACGTGAAGCCTGTTTATAGATGGCATATGCAGAAAGAATGATGTTGCAGGATGAAGATAATTCTTAGACCCTGACAATCTCTGACAGCATGGCAAATTCACCTGGGGAACTAAACATGTCGCATAAGGAATTGAAGGCATCATATAGGGAAGAAGTGAGCCCAAGAGAATTTATGCCCATGTTCCTAAAAATAATTGAAACAATACGGGAAATCATCTGGAAATTTTATTTCACTGTATGAAGGGTAGTATCTTCAGGATCCTATGAGTATTTTTATTATTGTCCTTTGGGGTTTCCCATTGATTCTCTAATAACCAAGTGGTCTGGTTTCGACGATGTAGCGGGGGAGAATCATTGGTAGGTATAAAAGAGGAACGTCTTGACAAGACAGAAGGAAAAAGGATCGCAGTGCACCTTCTTGTTCAATATCCTTGACCTTTCAATTTTCCAGGTCATGGTTTTGGTTTTTAAGTCAATTGGCTTGTATTTGCAATTTCTCCACAAGCAAGCACTAATGCCCAATGCCATCGAATTCTGGATGTATCAGTCGTTCCCTTTCCCAGGGAAAGCATCCTATAGGAAATAGGCTAAATAGGATTTTAATGTGAGACTCACAGGAAGCTCCCTCGCCGATGAGTATGATGAACCTTTTCAGAAGATTTGCCGCAGACTGGATTAGAGGAAGTGGGTTCATCAGGTCCTCCTCTCCCAATTTTTTCTGCACGGAATATGACAATTACAATGTCTCAACACCCAAGAATCTCCAATCTCAACATTCTATGAGCTTTGGATTGTTTTATGCAGCCTATTCCGCTGATAGAAGGCCAGTTTTCTCAGTTGTTGACCTGAGTTTGTCAAGGTGCCTTATATTCAAAAGCGGTCTTGTCATTGTTATTTTTAGAATTCCTCTCATCAGTGTCGTATCAACTGTCCTTGAAGGTCCTCTTGAAGGTCCTCTTTCTTTTACCTTTTTATCTGGTCAATTAACAAAAGCCGTCATGGGGGAATTATGTTCTGCAAATGCTAAGTGTCGCAGGTGCCGCATTTTTGCCTTTTGCTAATAAAGGACTTGTAAAGAGAAGGGAAAGAAAGATTCGATGAAATTGGTCACGATAGGTTGGCTTGGTGTCTCATTCATTCCCAGGAAGAAAAGAAAGGGGGGGACTGCTTTTTTCGGGCTACAATCAGATTCCACATCCGGAGTCGTGGGTCTCCGGAATGATTAATTTTTGGAATTAGGGGAAAGGCGGAAGACATGCAATGCCACTGATTCATGTCTTCGCTCTTCCTTTGCCTTCCTAAATCACATCGTTTTATCTCCCGCCGCAGTGCAACTTGATATGTTAATCTCTTCCTTGACTTAAATCTCTGAATCCATTCTTTCAGATAATTTTTACTATTTTTTACAACGCACCTAATTCAATTCAATGCAGTCCATTTAAAAAATATGTCCTGAAGAAAATGAGGGTGGGATTTATCTGATAACATGAATATATCACCTAAGGAACATGTGGGATACTTTTCAATGGGCTTTTAAGGTACTCTGATATTCTAATACTTGTTTTCTACCTTGTCAGGTTCAGATTCTCGCAAAAGAATGGTGGCTTCCCTCTACGCATTTAATAGTCCTGCATATATTTTGCTACGCCTCAGAAAAGATAGATTGCAGAGGTAGAACAGAACAAATAAAACTCGAAAAAGGAAATATACTCACTGAAAAATCAAAATGGAGACTATATGGAATCCACATATATATTTTAATGCTATTCTCTAGTTCCTAGGTGATACATATACAGCAAAGATAGGTGGCTACCAATAACTGCTTAGGGGGAATGGGTAAAATAATATTAGGGCGTGAACCAAAGATGCCATGGATAGAAAGAGACCTGCAGGATTGGGAGGTGTAGAAGGGATCCTGATATGGAGAGAGACAGCGATGCCAGGATTCCTGAAGACGCCTTCATATCCCCCATCCTCAGTGGCACTGGGGGGTTGTCTTCGTCCTCCCATTCCACTCCCATCTTCCTGAGGTTTTCAAGGATTTTCTTCTTTTTCTCCTCATGAAGCTCAGGCACCTCGCCTAGCAATCCTGGACAAAAGAAAAAGGGTAAATACAAAGAGAAGGAAAAGGTACGTGTAGAGGACGATACCAGTCAGGCAGAGGAATAATGAATGGAAACAACTCCACATTGCTGAACCGGGAAAAATATTTTAACTGAGAATAATATAAAATGTGAAGCGGGATTGTCGAAAACATACTAACACCATGAAAGGTCAAACGATACAAAGTCATGGAGAGTATAAAGTTTGGTGAGGTGTGGTGAAGAATGTTGACTATTTCATCCTAAATTCACTCTCTTGCTAAGGCATTCCGGCGAAGGAAATCTCAAGAATGAAATATCCTACTTGAGAATCATTTGCTTACCTAGCCAACCATATCCCCAATCATTGAAAGGGGAAGATGAGGAGGGAGAAAGGTTCCCAGCAATGGCCTTCCATGTCTCTGCAGAGATGGAGAGGATAATCCCAGTGTTCTCATCCAGGAGGCCTTTCCTATTCAGTGCTGTCATACCAAACCGATATCCTATTTGATCCCATGTTGGACACTGCAACACAAATAAGACACATGAATATAGGGCAGTTCCCAAGCCCTTTCCATCTGAAAGAATGAACCAATCCTCGAGATGCACAAAAATACCTAACCAAATGAAAAGCTAAGCAGTGACGGCTAGTGCTAGACCTTCATTTGAAGAAAGACCTCAAATTAACGTAAGAAAAATATATAATATCGTAGTTCTTACCTAACATTTATGCAACATATTCCTCATTCGTTTGCTCTTGGCACAAAAAAAAATTGAGTATGTATTGCAGGGGGATGCTTGACTGGATTTGCTTTGAGAGGCCCCCAAATTAGCTTTAATCCGAAAATCCGATGCCAATGGATGTAAAATTGTAATATGCACAATTTATACGATTAGATTATCCTTTTGAGAACCTGTGCAAACGAAAATCAGACTCAGAGCAGTTCATGCTCAAATTGTTCAAGGTTCAAGGTAGATTAGTGATATTTAGAGGCGATTATATCCATTTCGATATCACGCGTCGAGGTCGAGCATTCCTTAATTTTAGGGTAAGCCTACTCCTCTTCATGTTAAATATTTTTGTATTTTTGGATATTCTTTTGGGCATCCTATTTGCTTACTATCCTATTTGCTATCTGCCTAGTCTGTATCGTCTACACTGCCCCCTCCCTTTTTTCCTGTGCATGAAAGCATCCAGTTTCTTCTTAAAAATAGTCACATAAGGGGCAGCCACTCCGCAAGTAAAGAATTCCTGCCTCGACCTGAGCCGCACTTGCTGTTTGCGCAACTTCAATTGATTACCCTCGTTCTCTTGCTGTCATCAAACTGGAAAAAACTTAACACACTCGACATTATCTATTCCTTTAATTATTGAGGGCCGATTGCATGAACGATGTTTTCCCGGTGTTTTTCGAAAGTCATCGGTTAACCGATGTCTAAGGTCAAAAATGGATTGCATTAACGCTATCTTCCTTCAACCATTGTCTAACCGATGTCTAACNTGGACATCGATGAAATAGAAGAATTTGCGATTGATTAAAGTTGTCTGGGTATTCTATTCGAGTACGACAGTCGTCGATGACACCGATCACTCCTGGAAATCCGACAATATAAAATAATTATCTTCGTACAACTACTCCGTTTTTCCTCCTAGGAATGTAATGAGCGATAGAAATGGGCAATGGTTTGCGCCATTCCATTTCTAGGAATCGACGCCACATAAAATCGAAGGGTCAGCACAACATGCAAATTGAAAGGCTTTCATGATACTCTCTTTACTTTCGAGTCATATTAATTAATTACTCAAGGGATGGGTACTTGAACAAATCATGATTCATTGCACACGAACAGTGATTGCACTTATCTGTCGATGTAAAGTTAAGGGATCCCTTCCACGATCTTCGTTCCTTTCGAGTTCAGCGCGAAGCAGGTCGACATCATACCCTGATCCCTTTCCAAATTGGTATCTCACGCGGAAGTTCTAATCGACATATTCTTCAAAGCCCAGAACCTATGTTTATTCCTCCCATGCGACGACGAGAGCACATCGCCGTTATCGAGCGGATCCATAAACAGAATCCATTGTGCTTCACCAGTACACTGCAGGACTATACTCATCGAGATGGTACACGAACGCTGGCATAAATATCGGCAAAACATGCACCATCCCTTGTCTGGAAACGACACCTTTTTCAGCTTCTGTTAGACATCGGTTAGACAATGGTTGAAGGAAGATAGCGTTAATGCAATCCATTTTTGACCTTAGACATCGGTTAACCGATGACTTTCGAAAAACACCGGGAAAACATCGTTCATGCAATCGGCCCTGAATATCTTGAAAGCCTGGATGAGATCGCCCCTCATTACCCTTCTCTTGAGCGAGTACAGTCCCAGCACTTCAAAACACTTCTCGTATGTAAGTCCCCTGACCTCCTTAATCATTCTTGTGGCCCTCCTCTGTACCCCTTCGAGCACCAGCAATTCACCCCTTTTGTAGGTCTCCAAAACTGAATGCAATATTCCAACCGGGGTCAAATCAGCGCCAAATACAACGAAGAATAAGCGCGATTTCCTACTTGCAGCCGAACGACAAATGAAACCTAGAATCCTGTTGCATTTGGCTACCGTCACTTGTGCGTGCGATGAAAACTTGAGGTTGTCATCTACAAAACTGCTAAATCCCTCTCACCGTTTGACTTCCCCATTTAACCTCGTCGAATGTGTCGTGTTCCTCTGCATGTCCTCTACCCCTACCATGCACCCATTTGGTAAGGCAGAAGTATAAACTTTAAGAGTCGGAGGGTCATAATTCAGCACCTTGAACACTATTTAATAATTCATAAACCACGTTTCAGAGACATTCCAAGTCAATATTTTTTCTAGAAATAGCGCCTGCCACATACAGCGATTTCATTGGTATTGAATTACTCAAGACTTTTTTGATGTGACAGGAGAAACAAATATGGAAAGTATACATTAGGTTAATACTGTATATACTTCCGGGAATATAATAAGAAAGGCTAATTTTCAGGTAAATCTCCTTCAGGAACATTCCATTGAGAGGCTTATGCTTCATATGAAGAAATTACTTCATAGTGTAATTGAGTGTAAAGAGATGGGGCCATTGCGAGATTTCTCTTCTAAAGTTTGAAATTATTTTTTGATGACCCTATGGACATTTCATCAGGAGCGCGCTTTTCATCCGCTCCCGGTAAGTTTAGGAGAAAAGTGCTCTTGGAGATTTATGTCAGAAGCAAGAACAAAAGGCCATTGATGAAGTGTCCTTCACTTAACTATCATCGTACGGCGATTAATTGCTGAGTTACTTCACAGCCGGTATTTGCCAGCGGGTATTTAAATTTGAAGTGTAAGCACACGCAAGCTTTTGGAGAAAAGTTAATTCCTTATAAAATATCGATGATAAAACGATGAAATGAAAACCACATTTACAAAGCAATTCCATTATTAACAAAATTAGTTTAATAATGACGATGCGTTTAGCGGTAATAATACGTATCTTTTAGTCTGTGAAAGTTAATTGATTTACAATTGGATGTATGTTCAAAGGTATTCAATAACTCCTCAAAGTAAATCTCCCTTACATCACACCATGAGAACGAAAAGTAAGTTTCAAAAGTGTGGAAAATCCTGATGCATAATCGAATCAGCAAATAGAATATTTCATCTTGTGCAAAAAAAAAAAGAGAAAGGCTTTTACCTCAAGGAACATTTCTTGGTCATCCAATCGCAAGAGGATGCCAATGTCGTCTTCCTCGCGATCGCAGCAACACGGGTATGATTTGACTTGGCCTTCCTTTTCCATTTCTTGCCACAGATGTTTATGATCAGGCAGGTTGTCGATGATGATGAGAAGATTCCGAGAACGGGAGATCACCTCCAACAGCCATTCGTCGTTCACGTTGAAAGAAACAACTATCGACGCCTCGCACCCTCGAAAGTCCTTTGGGTGCATCACTAGGGTATTAGGTAGAATTTTCTTAATTCTTTCTTGCATATTCAATAATAGGTATTCGTCGGATACCAGGACAAGAGGAACCTCATTTTTGTGCTCGCAAAAGTCAGATTGCAGTAGTTGATCTAGAATATTCACAGAGAGAATTTTTGAGGTCTTCCCACACGTGCTGCTTCTCTTGCAAACGTATCCCCAATGTTGCCCTGGACATTCCCTATTGGCGATGTTGATCCAAAAGACAGATGGACCAGGGACTATGGCATTGATCAAGCCAGATATAGACAGAGTCTTCGCTTCCAAGTTCAATGGGACCGAAGTCTCATTCTTTCGGATATGCTCCATGAAAGCTGGGCAAGGCGACTGAGACTGAAGCACTATTGCAGCACAGTCTTCGGTTTCTTCGAGTTTTTTAATGTATTCATAGACCCCGACCTTCAAATCATAACCTGAATGGGGTTTGAATACAAAAACTAACTTCATTTCTAACTTCTTCAGTAGTGCCACAGACTCTGCTGTAAAGTCATATATGTAAGGACAGTCTTCGAGCACCACAATCAAGGGATTATCCGTGCTTTTCTGGCGTTCCTCCTTTCCCTCCACCATTTTACCATTTTTCTCCCAGACGTCAATCTTTTCCTCTGCCTCCTGCATCCCATTCGCCTCCTTCTCTACCTTTTTCTTCACTCTTTGAGCTTCTTCCACTACCACTGCTGTATCTGAAGATTGATTAGAAAGCGATCGGAGGACGAGGCAGTTCCTGTTGGCCTTTTGCGCTTCCTTCAAGGAAGCGAGTTGACTCTCATAAAAGAAAATATTTTCTTCGTCCATAACCCCTAACATATCGAACAAATTGTCCACCCACTTCATCGGTTTAACTTCTTCTACCTCCTTTCCATCAAATTTTTCTTCTGCCTCCTCCACCCCATCCATATTTTTTTCTCCTTCTTCCTCTCTCATTTGACGGTTCTCCATTTTCGGATTGTATTCTGAATACATACTGGAGAAATATTTGTGATCAAGGACGAATTTTCTGATTGACTTCTGCACCTCCTTCAAGCAGGCTAGTTGGCTCCCATGAAGTGATATACCGTCCTTGTCACCAAACATGCTAAACATGACACGGAAATCTCCCTCGTCTTTCTTCGTCCAGTCTGCTTTCTTCCTCCGAGCTGCTAACTTGAGAATGTTGTTATGGAAATCAGAGAAGTTCATTGGAATGATTTTCACATTGGATTTTGCCTTCCAGCGTTGTTCCAAGACATGGCGATACAGCTTGCTACCAAAATTGTAAACCAAGATTTCGCCAGTCACTTTTTCAGTCGAGCCAGTCACTCTTCCAGCCACTTTTGCAATCAATCGATCGACTCTTCTGGACTTCCCCGAGGCTGGGTAGCCAAATATTCCACAGAGCCAAGATCCAAGCATCCTATCCACGTCTTCATCCACCTCTTTTTCCACGGTTTCATCAGCGTCTTTATCCACGTCTTTATCCATGTCTCCATTCTCCCCATTCCAATGCATTTCAGGGTAGGGTTGCATGGGAAAGTCATATTCACACAGCTCGTCCACACGATTTACTTTGTACTCTTGCCATGCTCTTCCCAGTGTTTCGCTAAGTTTTGCGTCATTCACTTTGCTCTCATCGAACTCCCATTCCTTGATTTCCCTGACGACACGAGAAAATTTCCCTGTTATTTTTTCTTCTTCCTCAATCATGATCACTTTGTTTTCTTCGGTCGTCGCTATCAGTCTGCAATAGTTATGCCAATTTGACCGAGAGAAATCGATGACCATTGCTACGTTTCTCGGGTAACATCCCATAATTTCATCCTGGCTCACAACAACGAGGGCAGACGAGTTGTTTCGGTCCACTATCCCACGGAACCCATCGGTAGATGAGAACATGATGGGCAGCTTAGGGTGTAAGAACTTGAGTACATTCACTATTGCGTTTCTCCTCCACTCATTGTCTACGACAACAAATATGGGCAGCTCAGATGACTTCCTGGATTGCTTACATAACTTCTTGAATTCTTCATTTACGGCATGCGAAGCCCTCACGACCTCACAAATCAACTCATCTCTGCATCTGCGGTGGAGGGCCTGACACGAGGGAATCACAAACAAGCGTGGAGGCTTTCTGTCTGACTCTGTCAGAACATTTAACTTCAAGGAAGGCTCAGTCGACACGAAGGCACGCCTGGATAAATTTTGTATTGCAATGAACAGTCTCGAAACATTTCTGGTGTTCCTCTTCACACCTTTGAGGACAGTAATGTTCAATCCAGCTGGTTTAACCTCGTCAATGGAGAAATCCCTCGTATAGGACTGGTCATTAGGCCTGAAGCTGATACAGATTGACCTGGCTTCCACGTCTTTGATCCATTGCCAATGGTGAGAGAGGGCTTCAGGGGTAATAATGCTTCCGAATCCTAGTGTGATAGGGACTTCATCGATGAGGATGTGCTTTCCTTTGCCGTGTTTTTCAAGGAAATTCTTCAGTCTTCTGAGGTCCTCCTCCAGGCCCTCCTCTCTCCCATCTACTACCTCGATACTACAGGGTGGACAGAGAAACATAGGAAATTTTAAATGTTATGAAAAATGCATGTTTTTCTATCGATTGACTTGAGGATTCCATCAAAAGTTGCTGAATAAATTTTTCAAGAGCTTGTAAATGTTCATGGGTCAAAGTCTATTTATGCCTGAGTTACAGCAATTTCGCCAAAAGAGTTGCCATAATTCCGACTGCTGTTCCTAGGGCCAAATCCACATGTGCATGGGGATGCTGAATAAATTTTGCACGTGTATGACATTTTCAGATGGAGTGGCAAAAAAAACACGTATTTGCCAATATCCTATTAAAGTTTCACGAAGATCTATCCAGAGAATTTTTTTTCGGAAGCAATATGTGGATTCATGCCTAGCAATAGCATTATCATCCCTATTTTACTGTGAATTTGGACTATATTTACCAAATCTGTAATCACGCATCAGTGAATTGTCAAAGGTGAATGGATATTCACAAACTCTTGCATATATCAGAAAACGTGCTATAAAATTGTATAGTCAATCCATTCGCAAACTTGGATTTTTATTAGTTGAAAGGATTACTTTTCTTGGGTTAATGCTGCATTTGTTTCTCTTCGGCCTGGCTCATTCCGTCCAAATGACTCCATCTTGTCTTGATGCTTTCGTCTTGACTCTACGCCGGGTTGGTCCATTCTCTTCTTCTTACCTATAGTAGGCAAAATGAACTCAAAATTAAATTAACAACAATTATACTAAATAAACAAAATTAAATAAGAAACAAATTTTTAACTGCCTTTTCCTTTAGAACTAGAGTAAATATTCTACATTTTTTCATAACTCCATCTGGAAAATGGATTTTCATGAACTAGGTTGTGGCTATATTGAAATTGAAAGTATATATCCAAGGACGTAAAAGAAATGCCATATTTTTTGACTGGATTGGAAAAGAACCAACAATTGCTTCAGCAAAAATGCTATGAACATCTCCCATGCAAAATTTTCAGAGAAGGAACCTCAGCAAAGCACATTCCATTTCACCGTACTTCATATGCAATGAAATCTTAATGGAGTCGAACATAATCATCGATGTGTGAGGATGCAACAGACCTTTCCCGCATTTCTTGGCTTGGGTTTTAAGGGAATCATCCTTCGCTTCCGATGCATCGGGAGCGTGAAAACCGATTTCTCTAGTTTCTTCCTGACCTGCTCCTGGAGGCCTCCCCTTACCTACATTTGGTAAAATGAACTCCAAACTGAAAAAAACATTTTCAACATGGATTCTATTCAGGAATTTTAGCGGACCAAGATGAATGTTCCGCATTTTCCCGTAACTTCATCCGGAAAGGGCATTTTCATGAACTAAATTGTGGCTATATTGAAATTGAAAATATACATCCAAGGACGTAAAAGAAAGCATATAATTACTTTTTGAAATCTCACCTGATGCCCTATTTTAATTACTGGACTGGATTGACTGAGAATTAATTATTTGAAAATATTCCCCCCCCCCATCCCCCCAAAAAATAAATAAAACAAGCATGTAAGGGCATTTTCCTTTGCAGTCAGAATTATTCTGGACTTAGCATCTACGGTACTTATGTACCAAATCTCATCATTCCATCTTAAAAATAACTTTGTTAGAAATAGCGCAAGTCACGTAGTCCGTCCCTATCGCCTATGTACATGATATGGCAAAATATGAGTAACGATTTACAACAAATATCAAAACAAAAAAAATATCTTCCCTCACAATCGAGCTATTTTCGTGAAATTTCCCTTTCCATAAAATAATGCGTTTCAAACTGATACAACAAATTTCATCCAATTTTTTTTTAGGCGAGCAATATCATCAGCAATTATTATACCCTCATACTCTGCCGTCTGCAAGGAACAGGGCTTGAGTGTATCCTTCACTCCACTATCAGCAAGAGCGCTTGTCCATTCTCAATGTCTAACTTTTTTCGATAATTGTTGGGAGTATCGCACATTGCATGACAGTTTTTATGTAATGGAACTTGATCGGAACCAAAGAAATTAATCGATGTCACTGGATTCAACATACCTTTTCCGCGTTCCTTGCCTTGGGTTTTAGGGGAAGCATCCTTCTGCATATGCTCTTTGGATCCATCGGGATCGTGAAAACCAATTTCTCCAATTTCATCCTGAACTGTCCTTCCACTACCTAGATTTGGTAAAATTAACCCGGAATTCAAGAACATTTGCAACTTGGATTTTGTTTTTGAATCATAGTGCATCAAGATAAATATTCCGCATTTTCCCAAAACTCCATCCGGAAAACGCATTTTCCAACCATCCTGACGCATAAAATACAGGATGGTCCAAAAGTCTACATGCAGAGGGAAAATTAACACTTTTTAACAAAATGTAACTTCATTCACAAATTATGCTCTACATGGTTGCCATTACTTTGAAAACACATACGGATGCGACTCTCCCATTCATGGTGAACTCGCTTTAATACATCTGTTGTTATGCACGAAATTGTATTTTAAATGCGTTCCTTTAGGTGATTCATGTTCTTCCTTTGACAAAGGCATTTTTAAAGGGTATCTGAAAAAAGACAAATAATTCACTATGTATGTAGAGCATATTTAGAAAATAAAGTTACACTTTCTTAAAAGGTATTAATTTTCCCTATGTATGGAGACTTTTGGACCACCCTGTAGTTCAAAGAGTAGGTTGACCTGAATATTTCTGACATTATGACGCATGGCGGCTTATAGGTCAGCACATTACGAGCCAGAGTGGAAAAAAAATTTAATACGGAACTTGGAGAAAAAGTAATCCTAATATTTTTTACATCCGTCACAAGATAATGATATTGGCTATCAATGATTCCCATGAGGCGACCATTGATCATTTCGATTGTACGTGGTCAATGGTTGGGCAAGTTGAGAGTTGCACGTGAGCCACATCCGGTGTAGCATTGGGAAACATTGTAAATACCTCTCATGTCATGGTCAACGATGCAGCATCACGTTAATTTTCCGCATTACGAAATTAAATACATTGAACGCCAAGTGACAAAAGCCAGTCAAAGAAGGCGAAGAATTGACTTGGAAACAGAATGAGGACAGGTTGCGGCTATATTGAAATTAAAACCGTATATCCAACGGCGCAAAATCAATTATATAATGAGTTTATTTCATCTGATCTGATGCCATATTTTTTGACTGGATTGGAAAAGAACCAACAATTGCTTCAGCAAAAATGCTATGAACATCTCCCATGCAAAATTTTCAGAGAAGGAATCTCAGCAAAGCACATTCCATTTCACCGTACTTCTTATGCAATGAAACCTAAATGGAGTCGAACATAATCATCGATGTGTGAGGATGCAACAGACCTTTCCCGCATTTCTTGGCTTGGGTTTTAAGGGAATCATCCTTCGCTTCCGATGCATCGGGAGCGTGAAAACCGATTTCTCTAGTTTCTTCCTGACCTTTCCCTGGATACCCTTTCTCGGCGTCACCCAATGGCGTTTTACTATCTCTCGGACTGCTATGAAGGGAAGAAAGTTTTTCCATATACTGGAACTTTCTCTGAATATGAGCAAGTGAGGTTTCTGAGAAAACAGATAATTTTTTACACCTGTAAATTTCGGATCATGAAATCCTTTCTTAAACATACCCTGTAAGAGCCATCTGTGATTATCTATTTCTAAAACAATGTGAATTCTCCGCACTGGCTTTTCCCTCATTGATCTGGAAGCGATTTCCCATATGAAGAAATGAGAATGGAAGTCCATGTTCACACGGCCTATTTTCTCCCGTTTATTTTCTATCAAATTAGTTCAATCCGAAATACCCATTGTAGAGGCTCACTTCACGTGATTTTGGAAGGTGTCAACAAGAACTAATAATACAGCATAATGATTCGAAAAATACTGATGTCTTGGCATTAAGGCCATTAGGTATTTTCCCTCTATCCATCTTCACGCACATGAGATTCCTTAGGAATTACAATTCCAGAACGAGAGCAGAGAGAGGGAGAGAGAGAATGAGAGCAGTATTTAATTATCAGAGTGGCTTGAAATAAAATATTCTTGCTTGTGACTGTGACAAAGATTTATCATCGTGAAAGCACGGTTAATTTTCTAAGAAAGACAGATTTTACTGTACGATAATTGATGCCCTCACACTTACTGAGCTCACTAAACGGGAGGTTTATATGCACGCATATTAGAAACTTTAAGCAGGGACCAGGGTTATAGAAAGCTATAACCAATGCCTTCTGTCGAGAGAGTTGTACTGCTTAAAAATTCTGCTATGGGAAATTTAGACGAATTCCGGAAATCGTTCGTGGTCAAAGTTATTGTGTCAAGTTCGCTTGTAAAGCGAACTTGATTTAATAACTCGGGTCCCTAATCGGTTGCATAAATCGCCAGGGTGATGGTCAGTCATAAAATGCTGGAAATATTTATTCCATGTAGCTAAAACCGAATCATGAACATCATCGTAGGTGCCGAAACGTTTATACGTTACTCCACCACATCAAACAAGCGAAATAACTTGGATTGGTTTTGCTAGATGAGCCATAACTAGATGCCTTCTAACTTGGGTTTCGCTCCAGGAAGATGTTCACCGTGTCTTTTCAATTGCAGAGGGTCTGTCGTTGTGGATATAGTGCCTAAAGGAGAAGCAATCATTGGAGCCTCTTACTCCAGAGTGTGATCTCCATGGTTTTAGCTGAAATGAGACCGCAATGACCACTTACCGAGACCACCAGGATTCATTTCCAAGATTGCAATGCTTTCAGCCATAACGCATGGATGACCCGTTATTATTTGGAAGAAAATAGTCAAATTCCTTCCCCATCCACCCTAATCCCTGTTTTGACCCTTGGTCTTCTGCTTGTCCCCTACCATCAGAGAAACCCTCGCTTTGGGACAGTTTCAAGAAATTGGAGAAATTAGTTAGGCTGCACAGGCGGTGCTTTAAGGAACACCAAGAAAGTCAATAGAGAAATGTTTCTAAGTACGTAGCTCAGGAGGCTGCGAAAAGAAAATACTGATGTTGGTGAAAAGATATTAAAGAGCATAGAAGTTAAAAAAGAAACAAGTGTTTGAGTTGAAGTCATGACTTATCGAACATCCCTCGTAAACTGTACGGAATGTTCAACTGACACTTAGAGGGGAACTGGCAAGTAGAATCTTGACAGGAATCAAGGGAGAAACATAAATTAAACGAAAATGGAGAACTCAGACCTCTGATGCTTCTCCATTTCGGACTTCGGAGAGGGAACGAGGACTTTCTTGATCTGATTCCGATGAAAGGGCGGGCGCGAGTTTAGCAGTTGAGAGACATTCTGCATGGCCGGTTCCGGATCCTTACCCACGTTTGAGCATAGCTGCAATATTGCAAGGCATGAAAATGTAAATGCAAATTCAAAGGGAAATTCTCTTGGATGTGAATGGAGAGATCTTGAATTTTCCCCTGGCATTGACAGGTGAGACGATACTTTGTCCTTCCTATTTTTTTTCGCAGGAAACAGGTTTCCATTTTTTATGGAAACAATTTTCCAGATTTATTTCGTTCAGGTTCGACGAACCCTGATTCTTCCACACACGATTGTCACTTCGTCGATCGAAAATTCCATGTTTCGCCTCCTGTCACAATCTTCTTCATTAGGGCTGGGTCGACTTCAACTGAGTCACTGTACCCTCCGCATATTGTGTTACGATCATGGCGTTGGTGGAGTATGGGGAGATGCGGAACAAAGTATTTCTAGACACGGAATACGTTCAGATCCTTTGTCAAAACAACGCAGCATGTTCCAACGGAGACGCTAAGAGAGGCTGCAAGACCTTCCCTGGAGAAGATCCCTAAGCATCAATTCCCTCACTTTCGCTATAATTTCCGGCGGAGGTGCAGTGAAAGGTCTTCAAGAAAGTTGACCAAATTCCAAGGAACCTCGCTCCTCCTTGAAACTTCGGTACCATCCGAGCTTAAGGGACTATGACATCGCTTTGATCCCGCATACTTCTTCAAACATTGTGAAGATTCCTGAAGGAGTTCAATGTAACACCCCTTAGAAAACGTACGTCTCCCATGTGGATTTCGAACCAGGCGGAACCAGGCACTATTTTCACCTGTTGGAGCGATGTCCACCAGAGGGAAAATCCATTTGGTTCGAAATTCACGTCCGTCAATGGATCGATGAATTTCCACCTCTAGACCTCCACCTGGTTCCAAATCCACTCTCTATCCACCTGGTTGTTTGATCAGATGCATAGGGATGGGCCTTACGTTCGCAAAACTTGCTATTCACAAGCTGCAGTAATTATGACGTGCTCGTTGCCAGACTTCAGAGCTACAACGGCCATTTATAACCTTGTCCGTAGTGGACAGCAGTGGCTTTCAGGCGCGTTCCAAAGGCTTCGATTCCTGGAAGTGCAAATGTAGATATCAAACACTTTTTTCTCCCTTGTTCTTAGTTTGGGGAAAGTCTTCCCAGTTCAAAAACGTTTTAAACCTACTACCTATCTATTTTTAAACGCAGGGTTCAAGAGAGCCAATATAATTTTACAGGTGTCTCACCGTGGCCAAAGTACGTAGGTATTCCAGCACCTCCTCTGCTTCCGGATCTGATGACTGATGTTCAAAGCTTCGCAAAAAACTGGATGCTTCCTACACATTTCAATGAAATAAGCTCACTGAGTTTAGATCTTCAAGAGTATGAACCACAGGAAAACTCGAGCAAGAGCGCAGCAGAAACCTGACTGGGAAGAATGGGCTCTTTGGATGGGGCTTGATGGGTGTCACTTGTGGATTCCTTGTCCTTGGGATTGATATAAGGGCAAGGGCGAGACCATCGTCTGTGTTCGGACATGGGATCATCATTTGGTTCCCAGTTCAACACCCCTACACTGCAGTAAAAGCATCTCACGTGGTCTAACACGCCTGTGAAGAAAACACAGAAACTGCAAGTCAAACCACTGAAGGTAACAACTAATCTTATTGGGGAATAATACTTTTTTAAATCATTAAATAGAAGCGAATGCCGCACAAGCAATAGCTAAAGATAACTCCGATTCAAATATGAAAAATGAACTACTGAGCATAAATCTAAGTCGCTACAATCATTTTATTTCAGCACAGTTAGTGCATCCCACTTATTTCTACATTGGTCTTCATAAGATTGCATAATGAAATCTCTGAAGAGTTTCGACAGTGCATTTTCGGTGTTGGATATTAAAATGCATTCACCTGATACATGACCAATGTAGAAGAAGCCAGCATCAGCCATCTGTTCCGGGCTCTGTGACATGTTTTCGGGCCAGGAATCAAAAGTCTTCTTTCGTGCCTCTTTGGTTGCATATTGGGGATGACTGGGTCCACCCTGCATTTGATCGCTGGGTAGTTGGACGTTTTCTGGGCTCTGTCCCTGCAGCGCCACACAGGGACTCGACTGTCTCAGGAACTCTCCTGTGCAGAAAATACCACTGTGTACATCTTTCCCTTACTGAGGAATAGTGAACAAATGAACTAGAAAGAGAAAGCACATCTCTCCCAATCTCTTCAAAGAAAATCAAGTTTTTTTTCAATTGTGAAGGGGTTGCAGACTAGGTTTGAGATATAACATTTGGGCAATAATGAGTAAAGGGATTCCCCCCAAATTCACTTCTTACAGAGAAGTGTTTCTATGAGGGCGGACTATCACTGGCCTGTAAAAACCCTATATGTCTCATTTGACCTGTCTTTACCATTTCCTCTCGATCCTGTGAATAAGCGTATCGTGCCAACAAAAGTGAATGGAAACAATATAGTAAAATTCCCGAACCAAAATGATGAATCATTTCGTACTCCCTTGTCATATTTCGAAGCGAATTTAACATGCTATTCCACGTGCACAGCAACACATTAATAGTTCATGGCGATACAAAAAATTAATGTCTCATTTTCTACCAAGGGTTATAGTTCAAAGCAGCATACTACGCGGGGCACAGTATCCAACCAAAGCAAAAGTGTTTTCTCCGGCACCCTTTCCGGTGTTGACCCACAGATGCGGGACGGAAAGGGTGGAGAACAAAGAAACTAAATGTGAAACGAGGGTGAATCCCAATCTCAGAAGCATTATTGGCTAGCAGTGCACATTGACTCAGACGAATGTGCAAATACTAGTATAAGGAACTTTCAACTCATGGCAGTCACGATCCTCAAATGACCTTTTATTGCCAGCTCCATTCTCTCATATAACATCCTTTTGCATTGTTTTTAACCTACCGAGATTACGATACGAGAACACGATTAACACTTCTTCAGACATGGACTGGGATGGTTGTCCCGAATCGGCTCCCATTCTTGGTGTCGCCACATATATCACAGGTTGACTTCTAAGCTTGGAATGACCGCTCCTCAAACCAAGATTATACTGCCCAGAAATTCATCAGCGACGCTTGGAATCTCAAGGCAGCAGGATGGCGCCACTGTTGTAAGCGATGCCACAGACTCAAGAGGAAACTTAAGTTTACGTCTTGATGCTTTTGGCTTGAGCAGTCACACACACACACATTTGTTGCTCGGTCTGGCAACAAGCTAGTTGCTCAGCCAAGGTAAAGGTCAGGATCCCGAACCCTCTATATTAAAACGAAGTACCTCGGTTATATTGCATGCGGATCATGATAGAATTAATTTTAGCTAAGGGTGAGAAGTCCGCATCCATCCAGGAACGTCTGAAAAATATATATATTTATATAAATATATTTATAAAAAACAAATTCATGCTTAAATCGATCGACTGAAATGCGACGGTTTGCCCGAATGAGCTGGTCGAAACGTTGAATGTTTATTCAGTGCCCGCTCTGCTGGGGGAGCCCCGGCGAGGGTCACCTGTAATGTTTTTTTTTGTTCGGCTTGTAATCGTCAAACCAACTAGAAAATTGCTTCTTTCTTCAAGCATTGGTCCTGATGAACATTTTGCAGTCGTTTTTGGATAGACGCAGCCTTCTCACCCTCAGCATGAAGAAATTTCATCGCAATCCACTGCCATCTGACAGTGGTCTCAGCCAAATTTGTTCCAAGTGCAACTGAAAGAACACCCCCCAACAATTGATATTCGCCTTCAATCGGCGTCGATGACTGATTGCAAAATAATGGCAGCTGGACTTCATCTATCATTACATTGCATATCATGGTGATGAAAGCTTTGCCTCCAGATGTGAGACTTTGGCTCACCTTTTAGGTAACGTCGAAATTCCTCGGTCAAGAATCCTCCAGCAATATTTATCACCAACAATTTAGCACCGTCCTTAGCACAATGTAAAGCTCTCCTCTTGAGGACAACAGTCTTCCCAGTTCCACTGACTCCGGTCATGAGAATCACTCTCTCTGGAGAATCCACTAATTGCTTCTGCTCGCGAGTAAGAATCAGGAGTGTCTTTTCCATTTGTTCATCACTCTTGGAGAGCAACTGAATGGGGTTGCGTGGTATCACCATAGTTGAGGCCGCACAAACGTAGAGCTTAAATATTTCCTTGTAGGTCTCCATCACGGGGGACTTGTGGCTCTGGTCCCAGTCCTTCAACGAGATGCCATTTACAGCCAGAAAACTACTGAAACTCATTGGGTTTTCCAGATCATCTTCAGTGAGGATTCGTGCCATACAATCTTTGCAGGGAATCACTTTTTCCAAACTTAACTTTGAAAGCATCGGTAAAGCAGCAAAACCAGCCAGCTTCACATGGGACGTAGGAAAACCACTGCATACAAAGTTAAAAGTGTTTATGTCTTTTTGGACTTGATCAAGTGCTTTCCTAATAACATCCTTTATTGTCCTTGGATTACTTTCGAGTGTCGTCGCCTTAACCTGAAAGAAAATTCCAATAATTTCCTGATGAGATACTCCAATGCCGAATATATCATGGTCACCGGCTTTCAGAAAATTTTCTAAGTCTCCATGCTTCCTCCTGAACTCTTTTTCTTTGATGCACCGGAAGAAGGTGTCCTTGAAGGCATAATCAGCAAGTGTGAGAGAAGGCACATTTTGGAATAAATCTTTGAGTCGATTGAATACCATGGCAACTGACAAATAATCTAATGGCATGCCCAAATCTTCTTGGAAGTTTTTTTTTCTCAGGTCATTGAGTTTATTTTCACTCAGCATCAGCATGTATCCTTCAGGTAGGGAATAGGCCCTGGTGTCCCATTCTTCGTAGTGCAGCTTCACATATTCAGCTGCAGCGAACTCCAGGGACATTTCTTCTTTTGCACCCATGTTAACTTTGATGTTTTCCCGAATGTCAATGTCACGGATCCTTTTGGAGCTTTGTAACTCCCCCAGACTTCGGAACTTCTCACAATTCAGGCACTTCTTCTGCTCCTATGTGAAAAGATAAAATGCATGAACAAAATACTCCAGAACCACATTTTGGTCATTGAGGTTCTTCTGAAAGTGTCTACGAATACTGTGTTTTAATCGGTCACTAATATTGTTTTAAGTTACCAAAGTGTTACATGGAAATCACCACGGGGTCCATCAGGTGGCGACAGGCGCAAATTCAAAGTTATCATGATGTTCGCAGGCGCATGTTGAAAATGCCATCACCGGGAGAATACTTTCCCTCTTTGAAAATGAATAATGTAATAGTGGTTTCGAGACCAGCCTAAAATAACTTTCATCATCCTAAACTGTTGATGTTTATGCGATAGTCCTAGCTAGTTTCTGTGGGCTAGACACGTGGCAACGGCGGAAATTCTTCGCCAACTTTACGTCATGGATTCATTCCACGTCAAATCAACGCAATGCAAATCATGACTCCGACTATTTGCTGAAATGTATACCAATGATCTGCACTGCACTAAAGGAAGAGATAACTCTGATACATTTTCATCTTCCGTCATATAAATTTTCAGATAAAGGGTTATGAAACATTTTTCTAGTTTGTGATCCAGTGGCACCTCTATTCTTCAATATTTTGATTACTTCTCTTATAGTCCAGATAGAGATATTCTCATAGTTTTTATTTAGCTATTTATAAATGTATGTTCCTGCTCATATCGATGATACCATACTCGTAAATGCTACCTGAAACTGTGAAACGTGGTCATAAAATGCATGCACTAAACGTTGAATTCATTTTACTAAGAATTCGCCATCTGGGATTTCCCTTAAATTTGGTTTACATGTTCTGCTAAAAATGTAGATGTGTGGTAAAAATCATATTTGGATAACGTGAACTTCTTGATATTTTTTTTACTTTTTGCACTGGTTTTTAAAGAATATATGTATTTGATAAGCTTATACGAGGGTGGTTTAATTCATTTGCGAACTCTTTCTTGTAGAGGCTTAAATGATTAGGAAAATCAAAGTCCTGCATATGGATTGGTAGAGGGGATCGATAAAAAAATTTCTGCGATAAACATTGTGGAAGACATCGTCTGTCGTCGGAAAGGTGAAATGACAGGCGTCATTTGACTCGGTTCTTGCAGAGAGAATTGTGATCAAGTTTTTGGTAAAGAAAAGGCATACACGAAGTAAGATTCGCAAGCAAATTAGATCGCAGTTTGGCGAGGAAACACTCCAGAGATCGGGTGCGTTTAAATGCTGGTCACGTTTTAAAGCTGGGCGCAACAGTTTGCTGAACGACGTTGGGTATTACAAGATAATGGTTTCGGTATCCTGGAATCATTCTAGGGTGATTCATGCGGATTTTTCATTCTCACCCAATACCTATTCGAAAAGGTTCGAGGAACGTCAAATCGGTTTAACGTTACACATCCTCTCTGAAATATTTCGTGAAAGTAAGAATAACTTGACGCGTCCTTAATGAGATGCCTCGAAAATCACGGATTCGCCCTTATGGGCCTATTTGGTTCTGTAAGTCAAGAATTGAGTTTCTTTCGAATAAAAATGGCAGACCTCGGCGTGACCTGACTGTTGATCAGGTCTAACGTGAGTCACGTAGAGAAAGGGGGGGGGGGATTGAATAAAGGAAAGCCAGTAAAAATTGGTTTCCACATTACTTGATCTACTTGTACTGCAAGGTCCTGCAAGCAATACTGGCAGCCATTCGCAAAAAGGTCCTAGTCTACTCTCTCGTTGAGTCCTCTTTCTGCAAGAGAACTCTTGACCAAACACGGCCCATGAAACTGAAAAATTGGCCAACCTCGGCTGTGAGCCTCCCATACATCCACCCTGCAACCCAGATTTAGCACCAAGTGATTTTCATATGTTCGGGTTCTGAAGGAGCATTCGGGAAGACAGCGAATTCATTCTGACGAAGCTGTGTTCTAAAAGGATCGTTCTAAAATGGTCCAAACAGTGAGACAGGTCTTTCTATGCCAAGCACATTCAGGCAATATCACCCCACCTTTGAGATAATGCTGCGCGTTTAAAGGGCGATTATGTGGAGAAGCAATTTGACTTTAAGTTAGTGCATTGCGAATAAATGCTCAAAAAATTTTTCACTAATGACCTGAACCACCCTCGTATACGGATCAAATCATAAAATTCTGTCCGGACATACCCTAGCAAAGCCTGTTTAGATTACTATGGCATTATGATCATTTCAACAGTGCGAAACCTACCGACGTTCACGAGAGACTTGATAATGTTTACGGTGACACTGACCATCGTTGTTAGTCGCAAATGAGCAGTGCCCCAAGATTTTATGCGGGTAGATAGCGCGCACGTGGTGATGAATGTCCTGAAGCGCCAACTTCCGCGACGACCTGATCGAACGCTGACGGTTCGTCGCGGAAAGATTCCGAAAATCACAGAGCCATTAAAGGTGAACATAGTGTGGGAAAAGAACTCCAGAAGATATAGAAATTCCGAAAAGTATTCGTTCTTGCTTCGGATAGCAGAACGCAATTCATATACTTGGAGCCGGAATAACAAGTTTGTAAGATTGGGAAAATACCTTGCTCAACAAATTCAACTAGGCTCAAGCTCTGATCACAAGGTAATATCCTATAAAGATCCCAATGCGCTCCAGCAGAATGGAAATGCCAGTTTGTGTCCTGCAGTAGGTTCCAGGTCTATCAAAATATTTACATGAAGTTATCTCAGAACTCATAAAATGATACCGCAAGTGCATCAACATAGAATGAGAATAAGGAATTGTTTGGACCCTTTATTTCGACCATACAATAAACACCAATCATACAATCTAGCGGTGGGTCATCAATACTTCCAACGAAAACCGAGTTTTTATTTGAACACGAGAAGAGCCCTGGTAGAGATCATGGAGGCCATGTTCAAGAAGTTTCTATTTATGCGTGAGAACTCCCAAACGTAGAGAAACGTGGTGTTATTTTGATCCATGAGGGCTGACTGAAAGTTTCTCAACATGGACTCACCTGTTTTACAGATTCATCTTGTCCAGCTTCTCCGGTTGATTGTGCCTCCATTACCTCCATTACCTAGGGAATTATTTTTTCTTCATTTCATTCCGAGGTCAAACAATGCAATTCAAAATATCCATCTACTTCCCTGCCATGATGTTTGACTTCACCGCAAAGGTCTTCAGCAACACCTGCCATTTATGCTTAAGTTCTCTCTGAGAACATTAACCTATTCAGCGATACTGGCAGAAATGAGAACGTTTGATTCAATGCATTTTAATTGGTCAAAAACTGATCCCCAAGTGCCCAGATGCCTCAGACGTAGCCAATTTGTTGGATGTTTTCATTTCAGTTGTTCTCACTTTTCCCCAGCTTCAAAGGTATTCTACAACTATATTTAAAAATAAAGTTCCAAGTAAAATAAAATTGATCTTTGAAAAGAGTTAACTTATTCTCGTTCACACAAGCTCCACTCATAGGGCATGTAAGAGCATGCATTCTGGCTACAAAACATTCTAATGAAATGCCTCCCGTGTGTCTTGGCTTCAGATATCGTAAAACTACTGAGTCATTTTTGGTTCTGAGGAGAAATACTGAACGGACTACGGAAAACCGTACGATGCAACTGTGAAAGTTGTGCTCATCACAGAGAAGAAATTCGAGCCCTCATTCAAATGTGTCAATTACTCATGACAGAATTAGCTGATCTATGTGCATCAGTATCGGTTGCTACTTTGACTGACCCTATTAGGACATTTGACTGATCCCTACTATGATGTTTCCACACACTATGGATATTATGATAACGTAACTTTTTTCTATTTTGCCAGCCAGTCAAGGCTTTTTGGACACGAAGATGTACATGTACCCACAGCGAGTTCGAACTGCACACCTGATGTAGGCCTTATGTCGTGCTATACCTAACTAATAAAATGACGCCAATGTTCTATAAACCAGATATTAAAATTATGTTCCCTGGTAAAATGGCGAAATAAGGAATTCAAATTAGAAAAACTCATCAATATGTGGAATGATGAATCCTATAATGAGCTAGAAGGTCATTATGGGAGTGCAAGGCCACCATAGTTCATGTGGCACGATGAACCATCACAAACCTCAAAAATAAAAGATGTGAGCATAAAATCCACATGCATGACTCTTGATGCTACTGCGTGTTTATTCTAGCGGTCTTGAGTCAGTTCACTTTTTCCCCGTGTTTTTCGAAAAAGTAAGAAAATTAGAGAGTTTGGAAATAAAAACTATTTAAAAAAATTTACGATAAGGAGGACTAAAGAATGACTTTGCAACAAGACTTTGGTGGGTCCTGGTATTTGGCTAAATTTTGACGTGGTCCACATTCCGTTATATTCTTTTATTTTCTTGAATGTGTGAAATTTTAGAAGAAATCAAAGTGGGGCATTGTGGACCAAAGGCGATCTATAGCCCATGGTGTCCCATTAAAAAATGGCGCAGCATTCACATGTCTTTTACAGTTGCGCTCATCAAATTTAAATTCAGGAATTAGTCATCCCCCTCCAAGATTCCAGGCATTCCAAATGTGATTGCGAGATGTTTAGCAGGTTTTAGATAATTTGCTTCTGCTGAAGGAAGTGAGGATTTTGTGTGATTCCTTCTGATAATAAAACTCTTCATGCAGTTGTTATTTTCCAGGAAAATACGAAGCACTTGTTCCACAGTGTCCCTGAACGGTCTTTGGGCTACCATTTCCATATTGGTGGATCACGCTTGGAAACTTCCATCAAACACATATCCAAAGTTTCACGCGATGTAATAGAGTTCTGTAATAGGGTAATAGGGTTCTGTTTATTCTGGTCAATCATAGCTTCCACGATTTGGAAATTTCAAGTATTTATTTTTCCGGAGGAAATATCACCATTATCTCATTATTTCCTCTCGACTGCTTGCAGAAGAAACAGGAGATACTTTTCGAACCCCATGTGGCGTATCAGAAAACTGCACGAAATTCCTGCAAGATGAGAATCCCGGGACAGTGAGTTACCATTTACGATGTTACTGTTTTTATTGGACAAGAGTACGATGCAGTGGGACGATGGGAAACACGGAAAAAATGTTTAAATGGATTTAATTTCACTGCAATTTGGCCATTCGATACCAAGGTTAGATAGGATATTTGTTGGGAAGTTCTCCAATCAAAAATTTCAGAAATCAGAACTCAGCTGCATATCTTTCAACATATGTGCCAAGAAAAATTAGATGAAGAAAGAACATTCCCCACCCAATGTGCAAATAGCGGGGGATGTTATGTCGTAAAATACATTTATTGAGTATTTGCTGACAGTGATGTCCTGATATTTGCTATTTTTTATTTTGATGGAAATTCAAGGTTCTCATTGCAATTGAACTTCATAGAACGGCAGTCCTGTGCCTACGTGAATGAGCGACAATCTCAACTTACTCTGGTTATTGATTGATTTTAATGGCTTCTGTTGGGGTGACATGAGTCACATTTCTAAGAATAAATTATTTTATGCTTTAAGCTGCGCTGATTTCGCAACACTGATTTTAATACGCTGTGGAAATACGAATTTTAATTAAACCGCAGCTAGTCAACTCACTGCTGCAGCCAGCGCATTAAAATTTATTTTGTCAAACCAGTGCAGCCAAATATAAAAATAATTATTCTCGGTAAAGCGACTTATGCCGCATCCTGAATATCTTGATGGTTGCCAAGCAGATCAGGATTTCCATCGCGGTCTTTTTCCGATTCGAGCCGAGAGGTTCAACACCAGAAGAAGTGATATACTAGTATTTGGAAGCGAACCGATTCGTATACTGTATTATTTTCCTATTAAAGGTTCCTAGTTTTTTTTAAATCACTTTCGGGATGTGCATCAATAACCAAGGGCTCCTCCTTATGCGCTACGAATACAGTGAAAACTCGTTAACTCGAACTTTTAGGGACCGAGCAAATCGTTTCGAGTTATCCGAAGGTCGAGTTATCAGGAATCGCCCCCTCCCAAAAAAAAATCTCACGTTTAGGGACATAACCAGAGGGCGATTTTTCCGGCCTCAAAAGACTGATTTCACGGAGCGATGACCTTCCCATAATAATAGGCTTTTATTCATCACAAATGTAACTTTAATACTCCACATGCAAAATTCATTTATTGCAACGTCTTTCACCTGGGGCTCTATTGGTTTTATCCTTTACCGACATGTAATCAGTGATCTTCATTTGCTTTGTAAAAGAACTTGCAATAGAGAAGTGGAAGTCTTCCAATTTCCCTACTGCCTCGAACAAGTCGACTGGCACCTCCCCTCGCGAGATGAGGAATTTTCTCACAATCGCCAGTGCATCATTGGCATAGCTCAAAGACGGAGGTAGAGCATTATACGTTGCCTCCTGCTCTCCATCACTCTTATCCCCGGGCTCGCTCTCTTGTGAGCGATCTTTGATGTCGGCAATGATGGATGCCTCAGTGACTGGCTCAGTAACAATGAGGTCATCATCTCAATGAACAAAGTCGTTGAATGACACATCACAGTTCATGATAGCACTCCAAGAATGCGGATCAGATGAGATTTCCATCTCCTCGACTTCCTCATGAACATCACTTCTGTGCGCAAATCCTGCTTTTCTGAAGCAGTTTGCAACAGTGGACGACCGTACGTCTTTCCATGCCAAAAGCAATATGTGAATTGCATCGAGTAGAGTCACACACACTTCCTTCTTTTCATCAATGGCGGAAATGATGCCTTGGATGAGTCGCTTCCTGTAGTGCACCTTGAGATTACGAATCACTCCCATGTCCATAGGTTGAAGTTTGGAGGAAGAAACATCAAATTCACTGCTGTCAGACCTTGAACGTGTGGATGAGCAAGGCAGTTGTCAACAATCACATTTCCTTTTCTGTTTCAGCATCTTCCAATTGCATCAGCCACTCCGTGAATATTGTTGACGTCATCCAAGCCTTCTTCGATGACTTGTAATGAACAGGCAGGGACTTCACATTCTTGAAACATCGTGGCTTGCAGATTTTCCTATCACCAACCGTGGGAGTTTTTCGGACCCATCCTTGTTTGCACCAACAAGGACTGTGATTCTGTCCTTGCTCTTTTTCCCACCAAGGCAAGGGTCATGGAGAAAAGTCACGGTTTTGTCTGGCATCGGCTTGAGAAATAAGCCCGTTTCATCAACATTAAACACATATTTAGGCCTGTAGCAACCTAGAACATGCAATAGTTTTTCCTCGATCCAACTTTCGCATTCCTTCTGTGGAACATCTGCACTTTCCTCACAAATTCGTCGGAACACGATGCCATGACGGTGCTTGAATCGTTCCAGCCAACCAACACTTGTACTAAAATCAACTCCAAGTTCCTTTCCAAGTTGATCAGCTTTTTCTCTCGTCAGTGTTCCGGACACGGGAGTGGTGCTGTCACGAACTTCACGAAACCATCTCAGGAGAGCCGCTTCCACGTCCTCATGCTTGGCTGTCTTCATCTTCTTGGAACTTGCTGTAAATAGGCGCTCATGTGCACTCAAAACCTTATCTTTGCTGCGTATAATGGTAGAGAGTGTAGAGGGAGGAATCCCGAAATTCTCTGCGATGTCTTTCTTCTTCAGCTGGCCTTCTTCGACAGTCCGAATCAAGTGCACCTTCTCTTCGAGCGTCAGAGTATTCAATTTCCTCTCGAGTGAACTCATTCCACATAAATGGCGTAAAGGAAGTAGAATATGGCTAGAATGGCTCGGAGTGAGAGCGATAGATAGACAGAGCGAATGTTGGAGGTTGCTTTTTTAAAGCCGAAGCTTTTCGGTTTTAATCCTCAGGTTTAATCCTCTCCACAGGCGTCTGCGTGGGAGGAGGGGAAGCAGAAAAGAAAAACGAAAGAAACAAAAGAACATCCTCCCGAACGGGTTTCTTATCATTCATCCTATTCAAAAATCGAAAGTCCCACAAGAATAATTTTTCCCCCCTTCACACCCAGAATTCGAGTTAACCGTGAGAAAATCGTTATCGGGAGAGAAAATGTCATTCGAGATATTCGGAAATTCGAGATAAGCGAATTCGAGGTAAACGGAGCATTTAACATGGTGTCCTATGGGGTTCCGCCGGGACCAAGCATTCAAGTTCGAGATAAGCGGAATTTCGACTTATCAGGATTCGAGTTAACGAGTTTTCACTATATTTCGTTTCTGCAGCAGGAAGGTGCTGTGAAAGCCAGCTTCGTGGGAAGGTTGCAAATAATCTGTGGTGAACATTCACAATCTGCCCAGATGTTTTACAAAATGGTGCGATATTATAAGACTGGGATGAACGGCACCAGCTGATGCACCCTGTTCTGGTCGTCTTAGCATGACAAAGCTCGCCCATGCACGAGGAAGCAGACTATAAAGGCTATATCCAGACTCTGGTCAGACAGTCCAACATCGCCCCTACTCCCATAATACTGTCCCCAACAGTTATTGGTTATTTGCCAGCTTCAAGGTGCCTTTGTTTTATTACACTTTCAAGGAACACAACTCCATTATGAAGTCTGAATCTTCTGAAATGTACAAGCATGTGTGCGTTAAAGGTACCGATAAAATTATTTCGTTTGGAAATCCATTAACGTGTTGAATATTTTATTACTTTATGTAAGCATGCAATAGAAATGGAGATATATATGAATCATATGTGAGACATACATAGGTCTGGTTGTTTAACCAAGATTCCCATCGCTGTAAGTTCAGCGGAATTGGTGGAATTCGAAAGTTCAAAAAAACACAGAAATGAAAATTAAAAGTAGTAACACGAGTAATATACCAATGGAAAGCGCTCGGAGAGAGCTTTCATTTGATTCTAGTTACACGTTTATATTTCGTCTAAAACAGGAAGTACGAATCTCCAAATTTGATGAAAATGGGCAATTTTGGACTTTTCAAATTTTAATTTTAAGTCATTTTAAAAAAACGTAGGAAGCTGAAATTTAGTTATTGAATTGCTACTGTCTTAGTCAACAATGTTGGGAAAGGTTGTAGTGTTACCATGCATCCTAGTGCTAATAATTTTCAGGCAAAATTCGGCAATATTTACCATTTTCGGAATTGCGTAACTTCATTTGTGATAAACGTAGTAGAAAATGCATTTTATAATGCGATTCTCCATTGTCTCAGCTTTACTTCCAAAAACGCGTTTCTACCTCGACTAGGACCAAAGAGAGCGCTTTAACCCTAGAAGCCACTTTTCCTCTTGGGGACGAAGTTTAGGGCCACATATCTCGAGATCCATTTGAACTAGAGAGCTAGTATTTTGGATTATTTCATAAGTCTTGATTGCCAACAAGCAATAATTATTTTCAAGCAAATCGGAGTCTGAAGCCCAACGACAGTGACTAAAATTTGACCTCTTGAGCTGGAACGCCCTCTCCCTATATTCAACAGTTAGACTGCTGGAGCACAGACAAACACACATACGACGAATTGCAATTTTCTGCGGTTGTCAAATATTTTCCGCAGGTGTTATACGTTCAACCTTCCTTCGGGAAGTTTTCGGCTTGTTTCATTCCAAGTTGAAAATTTTTCAGCCCCTTGCTCGGTATGGAGAACTGTACAGGTGCTCCCTCCCTCTCAAGAACGGTGGTTCTTCTGGTGGTCGTGGCTCTTGCTGCAATCCAGGTTCGAAGATTCACTTGCTACTTGCTTACCCTGCTTGCAGATTGCCTCAGACATCTCATATCGGTTGCATCAGGTGGTATCGCTGATCCAGGAGTATCTGTCGTATCCGACGAGCAGTCTGTACACCAACGAATACATGGACAACGTGCCGTCCCCGGGATTCACATTCTGCGCGAGACCGTCTCTCGTCACTCTCAAGATGAGCCGCCAGATCAAGGTGCAGGGATACAAGCGACTGGCTCCTGGAGATTTCTGGAGCATGGCAAGATCCGTCGAGAACAGGACCGCCGCTGATACCTTCTTAAAGTGGATGTTCTTGAATAAGAAACCCATCTGGCAGGACATAGTAGAGTCCAGCCCGATCGGTGCAGTTGATGGCTCGGTTCGATCCGCGCCCAGCAACGGGGAAATACTTGAGCGGATTGCGAATGGTGCGCCCGTCAAACGTGATTCGTCGATGCATCATGACATTTGGTTGAAACATAGCTTTGACTTGCAGGTCAGGGAATGCGGAGCTATCGAGGTTTCTTCAATTACAACGACTCCGAAGATTTGTTCAAGGGGGACTTTCTTCAATGCGTCTCGTCGTTTCCGAATAGAACATTTATAACAGGCTTCGGTAGTGGAGGATATAATTGCATATGGCAATCCATCGACTTCAAATTCGAGGATCTCACCGATATGGTTCAACCGGTAAGGACGCCACGAGCCCTTAAACGGAAAACATGCATAGGCACATGATTTTTTTTCGGTGCAGAACGAGCCTCAGATCGACGTCTACATCCACGATCCTCGAGAGACCTTCTCGAACTTGGGTTTCTTCAGGGGAATCCACTTGAGTCTGATGAAGGGATCCCTCATTAGCGTGGCGATTCGACCAAGCATCAGTCGGCTTCAAAACCGGCCGAATAACCCCTGCAATTCGGACAAGGGCTACAGCTACAATAGGGTGAGATGGTCAGATTTCAGAATAATATAGGAGGTAAACTTCTCAATCAACCGATTAATTTGGTTCTGTTAACGAATTAATCATTCATCCGTTCCCTAGTTTCCTCTCTTATTGTGACTTTCGGATAACTCCTGGGCCTCTCTTCCTGTTTCTGTTTTATTATTATTATAGTACAATTCCTGTCCTAAGAAGCTTTCCTCTTTTTGCTGCGTAATGTACCATGCATAAACGCTCGCCTTCATCAAATCACCATTTCATAGGATAATAATCATGGAACACTCAGTGTTTTGCTCTCTCGGAAGTTATTTTGCTTCGTGCGGTGAAATTTAAAGAAAAGAAACAAGCATTTAGGGAGCGATTAGTATAAGTGCTGATTTATTTATCGGAAAAAGCTAAAAATCGAATTGATCAAATGCAATTAGAGAATAAAATAGATGAAATGAGATAATGTATGCCAGTAGGCTTCCCAATTATAGCAAGTCCATTACTATGCAATTGCCGAAGGATTCAAATTGATGGAACATAGTTTAAAATCCAAAAAAAGACTGAGCGATGAGAAAAATTGAGAAAAAAAATATCTCCCTGAATCCAGAGTCCCATTCGAGGAAGAACTATATCTGACGTTCGTTTATAATTTAATCCGTGTCCTAGCCAGAAATAAAATGAGACAGGGAAATAGGGAAGGAGGGAGACGGAAGTCTAGAGGGGCCATACAGCCCTGGGGCGAGGGTTCTGTGAGGGCGAACGCCTTCTCGTTAACTTGCCTCCACCACTCCAGTTTTTTTTGGAAAGGGATACAAATGACATTCACCCGCTTTCACTGGGAGAAGACAGTTGATGTTTGACTGAGGTATTCGGAGACGAGACATGGCCTGTCAAGGAGCATAGGAGAACAAAA